AGAAAACCCTATTCTCGAATGGAATTACATCCACAGGTATAGAGGTTAGGATTCTAATACATATTTTAGGGGGACACAATTTAATCCATAACGAGTAACAGAGCTAACATTTATCAGGTACCAGACAACATTTACAGGTAGTAACTCTGATGTCAGATGTATCTTGGCTGAAAGCAGAGAATACTACAAAGATGTTTACCTGTGTTTTATTGACTATGCAAAGGCATTCAACTGTGTGGATCATAACAAATTGTGAGTAACATTACAAAGAATGGGAATTCCAAAACACTTAATTGTGCTCATCCAGAACCTGTATGTAGACCAAGAGGCAGTTGTTCAAACAAAACAAGAGGATACTGCATAGTTTAAAATCGGGAATGGCATGCGTCACAGTTGCATCCTTTCACCATACTTATTCAGTCTGTGTGCTGAGCAAATAACCTGAGAAGCTGGACTATATGAAGAAAAATGTGGCATCAGGATTGAATCATTAACAACCTGTGATAAGCAGATGACATAACCTTGCTTGCTGAAAGTGAAGAGAATTTGAAGCACTTACTGATGAAGATCAAAGACTACAGCCTTTAGTATGGTTTACACCTCAATATAAAGAAAACAAAAATCCTCACAACTGGACCAATAAGCAACATCATGATAAATGGAAAAAGTATTGAAATTGTCAAGGATTTCATTTTACTTGGATCCACAATCAGCACCCATGGAAGCAGTAGTCAAGAAATCAAACAATGTATTGCATTGGCCAAATCTGCTGCAAAACCTCTTTAAAGTGTTAAAAAGCAAAGATGTCACCTTGAAGACTAAGACTAAGATCCAAGCCATGGTATTTTGAATCACCTCATATGCATGTAAAAACTGAACAATGAATACGGAAGACCAAAGAAGAATTAATGCCTTTGAATTATGGTGTTGGCGAAGAATATTGAATATATCGTGGACTGCCAGAAGAATGAACAAATCTGTCTTGGAAGAAGCACAGCTAGAATGCTCCTTAGAAGTGAGGATGGTGAGACTTCATCTCACATACTTTGGACATGTTTTCAGGAGGGACCAGTCCCTGGAGAAGGGCATCATGCTTGATAGAGGGTTAGTGAAAAAGAGGAAGACCCTCAACAAGATGGATTGACATAGTGGCTGCAACAATGGGCTCAAACATAGTAACAATTGTGAGGATGATGCAGGACTGGGCAGTGTTTTGTTCTGTTGTACATGGGGTCACTGTGTGTCGGAACCAACTCGACGGCACCTAATAACAACAAAACAACTCTGAGGTGGGGGACCTTGGATTTCAGTCCAAGCCTTCTAACTCCAGGGCCTGTGCTCCTGTTTTCTCTATTACTGCACTGTACTGTTTTCACAGCCCTGGCACAGTGGTTAAGAGCTCGGCTGCTAACAAAAAGGTTGGTGGTTCAAATCCACCAGCCACTCCTTGGAAACCCTATGGGGCAATTCTACTCTGTCCTGTAGGGTTGCTATGAGTAGGAATTGACTTGATGGCAATGGGTTATACTGTCTTTAGCAGTTCAAGAGCCTCTAGCAAGTGACTCCAATACCAGGTTTGCTGTTGCGATTAAAAATATAAGATTTAGGAGCAGAGGTTAGACTGGATTTTTACTCAAGGGTCCTTTCTACTCTGTTTTACTTTTAAAATGAAATTCTCTACATATGAGAAAGCACCTAGCAATAAAGTGGCACTTCTTGGAATTCACTACCTCACCTTCAGATTGGTTTTATTTTACATGGGGCTTCTCCACTCGTTAGTGCTGAGGAGTCAGAGGAAATCCTGCTCATCTCTGCTATTGGTTCTGTAATATGCAGCACCTTTGCTAAGGAGTCCTGGTGGTGCAGTGGTTAAGGACTCCGCTGCTAACCAAAAGGTCAGCACTTTGAATCTACTAGCTGCTCCTTGGAAGCCCTATGGGGCAGTTCTACTCTGTCCTATAGGTTTGCTATGAGTCAGAATCGACTTGATGTCAATGTGGTTTTTTTTTTTTTTTTTTTTTTTTGAGGATAGAGAGTGCCCAGGTGGAAGGACTGTAGGGCCAGGTTTGTGCTCTGCCTTCACCCCTGCCTGCGTCATTCTGCCTTCTGCCTTCAACTGTGTAAAGTTACTGAAATCCGTTCTAATCCAACCTAACCTTCCCTTTGTCATTCCGCAAGCATTTCCCCAGTACTACTCTATGCCGAGCTCTTTCACCAAAGCCCCACGCACTGGCCCTTTTTGGCAGAAAGGAGGGGGACAGATAGATGAATTGAGTTTGTAGTTAATAGATCCATAGATTAGCAAGGCCTTTCTTAACTGGACTTCTTAAACAAGTCCCATATGGTCAACATAACACTCTCCAGAGAATGAAATCCCATCATTCCCATTACTGAGAGCATAGAATGTCAAAGTCAGGAATTCCTGTGGGCAGTGGGGCTGCCTCCTGCTCTGATTTAAACTCATCTCTTTCAGCCCCTTTGAATTAAACTATTAATTCATTCATTCAGTTTGCAGGTAGTTATTGACTGCTGCTATGAACCAGGACACTGGGTGCAGCTCTGCAGAAACACAGTATGCAAGTCAGCCATGGTCCCTACCTTCTTGGAGCTTGCTTAACAGACACTTAAGCAGTTGACCCAAAAGTATGATAAAACCTATGATGGGGAAGTATAGGTTGCTTGCAAAAACATATCCTGGGATATCCAGCCCAGTACAGGTGGGTCAAGAAAGGCACCGTGCAGAGTGGGGAAGGCATGTAAGAGAAGACTTCCTAGAGGAAGTGAAATCTAAGCTCTGACCTGAAAGATAAGTAGCTGTTAACCAAGGGAAGAAGGGGGGGGCGGTGGGGGGAGAAGTATGCTCCAAGAAAAGAAAACAACATGTTCAAAGCCCTGAAGGCAGAAGGAATATTGACACATTTAAGGAACTGTGTTTCAGGAGAATTCATAGAATGTGAATGGGGGTGGGAAGGCGTTGCTGAGTACAGGCATGGAGGAGGCTAGGAAGATGAGCAGGAGCCAGGTAAAGAAGGCCCAGGTTGAATTTTAATCTAAAGACAGTGGAAATCATTGCAGGGTTATAAACAGGAACCAAACCCAAACCCATTGCCACTGAATGGATTGCAATTCATAGTGACCCTATAGGACAGAGTAGAGCTGCCCCATAGGGTTTCCAAGGAGCAGCTGGTGGATTCAAACTGCCAACCTTTTGGTTAGCAGCCGAGCTCTTAACCACTTTGCCACCAGGGCTTCTATAAACAGGAAGGGCAGTATATTTTTATAAAGAGGTGACAGTATAGAGAGTAGTTGATGGATAGCAAAACAGTGAGTAAAAGAAAAGATGAAAGAGTGAATGGATGGATGAATTGAGGCAAGGCAAGGAGACCAGTTAGGAGACTGTTGCAGTAATTTAAAAAAAATGAGATGGAAGCCAGTGGAAGAGTGCTTTTAGAAGAAAGTGTGGCAGAAAGAAACAATCTTTAATGGTTACAAAGGAGGGGAAAACACTAACTAGATAATAGGTACGTGGTAATTTTGGTGAAGGATAAGACAGCACACAATACTGGGGAAGTCAGCACAACTTGACCAAGGCAAAGTCATAGAAGTTTCATAGATACAGTCAAACTCCCTGAGGGACCAAATTACTGGGCTGAGGGCTGGGGACCATGGCTTTGGGGGACATCTAGCTCATTGGCACAACATAGCTTATAAAGAAAATGTTCTACATCCTACTTTGCTGAGTAGCATCTGGGGTCTTAAAAGCTTGTGAGCAGCCATCTAAGATATTCCACTGGTCCCACCCTGTCTGGAGCACGGGAGAATGAAGAAAACCAAAGACATAAGGGAAAGATTAGTCCAAAGGACTAATGGACCACAACAACCACAGCCTCTACCAGGCTGAGTCCAGCATAACTAGATGGTACCCAGCTACCACCACCACCTGCTCTGACAGGGATCACAATAGAGGATCCCGTACAGAGTTGAAGAAAAATATAGAACAAAATTCAAAGTCATGCAAAAACACCAGACTTACTGGTCCGACAGAGACTGGAGAAACCCGAGAGCATGGCCCCTGGATGCCCTTTTAAGTCAGTACTGAAGTCACTCCTGAGGTTCACCCTTCAGCCAAAGATTAGACAGGCCCATAAAACAAAACAAGACTAAAGGGGCACACCAACCCAGGGGCAAGGATGAGAAGGCAGAAGGGGACAGGAAAGCTGAACAATGGAAGTGGGAAACCCAAGATCAAGAAGGGACGAGTGTTTACACATCACAGGGTTGACAACCGATGTCACAAAACAATATCAATTGTTTAATGAGAAACTGATTTGTTCTGTAAACCTTCATCTAAAGCACTATAAAAATAAAATAAAAAAGATGAGAGTGTGGTACCATATCAAAAGGTGTTGAGAGGTTAAGTAAGCAAAACAATTTTGCTAAAAGAACTGAAGCCAGGTTTTGGGTAACAGTAAACATTACTGTAATCTTCAGTTCTATGCTATTCGGTGAATGTATTAAATTCCACATTTTTAAAATTCCCTGTTTTTAAAATTGTGTTCTTTAAAATATTATGTATTTAATTCCTTGACATTCTCAATTAAGGTGTGAAAACAGTTTAAGACAAGTATTAACATCTTTCTTGAATATGATACATTTGAGTCTAAATCTCATGTCTAGCATTCATTTGGAAAAAAATAACAGATGATTCTTCTCTGTGAGAGGAATACTGCCTTTAACTATCTCTTTTCTTTTATTCTCCACCCTCCAATTTTTGGTTTGGTTCCTCTCTCTTAGCCCTGTGAGATCTGTCTTTAGATAAAACCTTTCCCATAGGATTTAAATCAAAGTCTTGTCTGATTTTGAAATTAGAAATGTAATTTCTTTCCTATGTGTTCTAACCCATCTAGAAAGCTAGTTCATAGCAAAAGCACATCAGGATGCTTAAAGAGTAAAATATGACTTGAAAGATTTAGTTATCTTCTTTCCTTTTTCTTTTGCAGCTACAAGAGACTGTAAAAAGGAAGTTGGAAGGAGCCCGATCACCACTTAATGGAGACCAGCAGAATGGTGCTTGTGATGGGAGTTTTTCTCCAACTAGTAAGCGAATCCGAAAGGACATTCCTGCTGGGATGGAAACCATTAACAGTTTGCCCAACAACATGCCACTGCCTTCAGCTTCTCCTCTCCACCAACTTGACCTGAAGCCTTCTTTGCCCTTGCAGAATAGTGGAACACACCCTCCTGGGCTTCTAGAAGATCTGGGTAAGAATGGTAGGCTCCCAGAGATTAAACTTCCTGTAAATGGTTGCAATGACTTGGAAGATAGCTTCACCATCTTGCAGAGCAAGGACCTCAAACAAGAGTCTCTAGAAGACCCTACTGGCATAGACACATCAGAAACATCGCTTTCAAATCAGAACAAGCTGTTCTCAGACATTAACCTGAATGATCAGGAGTGGCAAGAATTAATAGATGAATTGGCTAACACAGTTCCTGAAGATGACATACAGGACCTGTTCAATGAAGACTTTGAAGAGAAGAAGGAGCCGGAATTCTCCCGGCCAGCGACTGAGACCCCCCTCTCCCAGGAGAGTGTGAGTGTGAAGAGTGACCCCTCTCACTCTCCTTTTGCACATGTCTCCATGGGATCTCCCCAAGCCAGGCCTTCTTCTTCTGGCCCTCCCTTTTCTACTGTTTCCACAGCCACTAGTTTACCTTCTGTTGCCAGCACTCCTGCAGCTCCAAACCCCACCAGCTCACCAGCAAACTGTGCTGTCCAGTCCCCTCAAACTCCAAACCAAGCCCACACTCCAGGCCAAGCTCCACCACGGCCTGGAAATAGTTATCTCCTTAATCCAGCAGCAGTGACGGTGGCAGGTTCAGGGTCAGGCCCTGTGGCTGTGCCCAGCTCTGACATGTCTCCAGCTGAGCAGCTTAAGCAGATGGCTGCACAGCAACAGCAAAGGGCCAAACTCATGCAACAGAAGCAGCAGCAACAACAACAACAGCAGCAGCAGCAACAACAGCAGCAACAGCAGCAACACTCAAATCAAACTTCAAGTTGGTCTCCCTTAGGGCCTCCATCCAGTCCATATGGAGCCGCCTTTACTACAGAAAAACCAAATAGCCCAATGATGTACCCCCAAGCCTTTAACAACCAAAACCCCATAGTGCCTCCAATGGCAAACAACCTGCAAAAGACGACAATGAATAACTACCTCCCTCAGAATCACATGAATATGATCAATCAGCAGCCAAATAACCTGGGTACAAACTCTTTAAACAAACAGCACAGTATTCTTACTTACGGCAACACTAAGCCTCTGACACATTTTAATGCAGACTTGAGTCAGAGAATGACACCACCAATGGCCAATCCCAACAAAAACCCCTTGCTGCCGTATCTCCAGCAGCAGCAACAGCAGCAGCAGCCGCCGCCTCCACCACACCTCCAGGCTCCTAGGGCACACCTGACTGAAGACCAGAAACGCATGCTTCTCATGAAGCAGAAAGGAGTGATGAACCAGCCCATGGCTTACACTGCACTTCCATCCCATGGTCAGGTAAGTGCAAAAGTGAGACACACTTCGCGCAGTTCTTGTGGTGCATTTCAGACTGTCAACGTGTGATGCGCGCCAGTCTTCAGCTGTACCTTACCCGTTGCCGTTGAGTCAGTTCCACCTCATAGCGACCCTATAGGACAGAGTAGAACTGCCTCATAGGGTTTCCAAGGCTGTAATCTTTACGGAAGCAGACTGCCACATCATTCTCCCGTGGAGTGTCTGGTGAATTCAAACCACCGATCTTTTGGTCCGCATCCGAGAGTTTTAACCACTGCGCCGCCAGGGCACCTGCTTCAGCTGTAGCAGTTTTTAATTACCTGCAGAAATCCTCCTTATACGTCCTCATGAGGTTGCCTGTTTGATTTCTTCCTTCATTTTAGAGATGGAAAAGGGTGGCACTTACAGTAAACTTCCCTGTATTTGAATGCCTAGGGATCAAACTTCCTTTATTCCCGGCAACAGCTGAGAAACCAAAAATTACATAAACTTCTCACTCTGAGGGAGGCAGGCTGCAAGAGGTCACACAGCAAAACATGGTGCCCCTCTGCAGCTGTGTACAATCCTAGACTTGGGATGGTGGGAAGATGAGAGCATTTAGAGATATCTACAGCGGTTTTATAGGGCCCTGAAAAACTTTCAACTGTCTTACTGAATTATGAGTAATTGGAAATCTCAATACTTGGTGTTCAAATGTGGGAGAGTTTTCTGTATTTTCAAACTGAGGTAGAGGATAGGTTTTTTTTTTTTTTTTTTTTTGTAGAACCATCCAACGTTCAACCGTCTGTTGCTGGTCTAGAGCAGTTAGAAGCTGTTTCAACTTAGTGACTTGGGAGTGAAGTAAAACCTCTCTCCTTCAGTCAGCTCTAATGCAGGAAAATTTGATGGTAAATGTATCTTAGTGCTGTATTAAATTAAAAGCTGCTCTTTCCTGCTGTCTTCCTTCATGACATCTTGCTTTAGGGGTGCAGGGCTGTCAATGATATGTGGTATAAATGAGTGGCGTCTGGTTGGTAGGGAATACTCATTGTCAAGCATTCCGCTCACCTCACCCTGACCAGTAGCAAATAGATGATGCTCCTTTAACTTAACACTTGATCTCCCTGAAGGAAAAGGGGAGTATAGAAATTGTGGACTGACCTTTCCCCTATGAGGATGAATTCATGAGGGATCGCTTTCCTGCCAAGTTCTAGTCTCTGCCTCAGTCCTCTTGGGAAGCAGATATTGGCATGCTCATTGGAGATTTTGCAGACAAGTCATTGCTTTAGAGACCATCATGTCCAAACAGGCTAACTAGTGCTTGGATGTGTGTCCACAGTTGGGTGAATTAGAAGGGAATGATGCAGGCAGATCTTGCATCACTGGGTGATTGTTTGCATTTTCTGTCTCCTGGTGTGCCTCGTTGCCCCCTTCCACTTACGCAAACCTAGCCCCCAAGCTTGATGGAGGCTGCTTGGCCAGACAGGGTGCTGGCCTGCAGAGACAGGTCTGAGCTCTGTAGCTTGGTTCTTGTCCTTCACAGCCTTCCAACCCCCAAATCTCACTGTGGTTTCTTGTCTGCACATGCCGGCCAGCTCTCATGAAACTCTCTCTGGATAAATAAAAATATAACTTAGTTTATATGTCAAATGCAGTCAGTAACTGGTAGGAAGAAAGAATCATTGAAATATGAACTTTATGTTTGATCATGGTTTAATTAAAAAATACACCATTGGAAAATGCAACATCTTATACACTTCAGTGTTAAGTTCAGAAGCAGGCAAAAATATAGGCAATACACTGGGCTGTTGGTTATCGCCCAGACTGTGAGCAGGTTTATGTGATCGCAAGCTGTAGAATGGACCGTTGTTAATCTTAATACAAATTGTGCTTCTACAGTCACTGTTTTACACCGTCTACAGTAAAGGATTTTCTCAGAGCCAGACCAAAGATGATTAATTCCAACTCACAGGCTCTGCAGACATGTGGGTATAATGATGCACCCACCCTTACTCCCCACCCTCACTAAATGGCTTTTGAGTTTGCTAACTTGGGATGAAGTTCCTGTCTTTGCTGGAACATGAATTTTAAGGTATGTATTTCAGGTCCTTGTGCTTGCCTTGCCTAACTATGAGTAACCAACGCCTTTAACTGGAGAGGTCGTGTTTTGAAGGGGCTCAGTCAGGTGAAGAAGCAAAAGTGATGGTTTTCCAGCTTAACTGTCCATCTCACCAGGTGCTTTCAGGGTGGGCAGCATCGTCTTCGTGAGACCTCATTAAATAATCCATGCTTAATCTCATAAAGAACCATCACCACAAGCACATTTTTAAATGAAATATTAACTCACCACTGTTTGAAACGAGCTTCAGAATACGTATATAAATATGTGAATATCTTTCTGCAAACATACCATTTATTTCATGCTTTTATCTAATTGTGGAGCAGTATTTACTTAGTTCTCAGAACAGTTAATTACACTATATGCAGGTGCATTGCACAAATACTAGCACAAATTACAGGTGTGATATAAAATATAATTATAGATAGGTGTAGTTCAAATTTGTGTGCTGCTGTTCCTAGTGAAAATCTACTTTATTCTTAGTTGGCCACAAGGTCCATGGTCAACTCTTAGTCTTAATGAATGACTTGAGCATCAACGCCAGTAGCAGAACACTGTTGTCGTTTTTGACTCATAGTGACCCCACATGACAGAGTAGAACTGTCCCTTTGGGTTTTCTAGGCTGTAGTCTTTACTGAAGCAGATTGCCAGGTCTTTCTCCTGCAGAGCTGCTGAGTGGGTTCAAACCATCAACCTTTTGGTTAGCGTCCTAGGGCTTAACCAGCTGAATCACCAGGGCTCCTTAGAAGAATACTGTTGTGTGTTGTTGTGCAACATTGAGTCGATTCCAGCTCATAGCAACTCTGTATGACAAAGTAAGCCCCATAGGGTTTCCTAGGCTGTAATCTTTATGGGAGCGGATCATCAGGTCTTTTCTCTCATGCAGCCACTGAGTGGGTTGGAATAGCCGACATTTCGGTTAGGAGGCGAACACTTAACCATTTGCACCACCAGAGCACCTTAACACTAAAAAAAAAAAAAAAAAATCAGTTGCCATCCAGTCGATTCTGACTCGTACTAACCCTACAGGACAGAGTAGAACTGCTCCATAGGGTTTCCAAGGAGTACCTGGTAGATTCAAACTGCTGACCTTTTGGTTAACAGCCAAACTCTTAACCACTGTGGCACCAGGGTTCTCAACCTTAACACTAGACACATTTATTTCAAGATAATTATTTTATACAGATATTTACTTATTTTAGACATTTGTAGAAAATACCATTTCTCTCAGAAATGAATAGAAATACACTCAATTCCTGGATATTTCAAAAAGGAGGGAGCCAAAAATAGAGAGAAACAAATAAACAAAAATTTAAATGTTTTGTGCAGTAATTCCACTTCTCAGATTACTATTCCTTGTAATCACAGAATGGAACAAAGATTTATGTACAAAGGTTATGCTCATGGTGTTGCTTATAATAATGAAAAATGGAACCAAAATAAGAATTTGGTAAAATAATGTGCATAAAAATCATTACATAAAAAAATGATTAATCACATGGAAATTCATGACATGGGTGAAATAAGATAGTCATAAAATAGTTTGTATGTTATAATCCAATTTGTGTATTTTAATTCGTGTAGAAAAATACTAAATAACCCAAATGTTAGGAATGGTATTTCTAGTTGGTAAAATTGTCGGTGATTATTGTTTTTCTCTGTATACTTCACTGGATTTTCTAAGTTTCCTATCATACATGTGTATGAATTTTATAATCAGGAAAAATATTTTTTTAAGGAAGGAAAACTGCCTGCTTAAAAAGTTTACACTTGGCTAATTCTTAAAAATAAATCCTTAGTTGACCCAATTTGCTGGTTGAATTGAGGTAATACCATTATATTCTATTCATTTGCGTGTATTAGTCATAAATCCCTACTTTAGGAGATAGTTCTAAAATCCTCTCCCCAAACTCACTCTCTCTCTCTCATTCTCTTTTTTTTTTTTTTTTTGAGTAGAATTACTAGGTCATAGGGTCCTTCATTGGCTGATTTTCAGAAGTAGATCACAGGGGAGGTGGGGCCAAGATGGTGGAGTAGTCAAATGCTTCCTGTGGTCCCTCTTACAACAAAGACCAAAAAAAAACAAGTGAATTGATCATATATGACAATCTAGGAGCCCTGAACATCAAAGGCAAAGTTGAGGAACTAGACTGAGTGGCAGGGGGAGGAAGAGATGGTTAGAAGCAGCGAGGAGTTGCCAGACCTCACCCGGCGGGATCCAACACCCTGCAGGCCAGATTGGCTGCGGTACACAGTGAGGCAAGCAGTGGCCTTCGGGACGTGTTGTTCCAGATCAGGAGAGACCGAGCAGCACAGTCTACTTAGGCCTCCAGAACCAGTGAAAAGCAGCACTGGATCAGCAAAAGATAAGTGCATGCGTCTAGCCTGCCACATGGATCAAAAAACACCTCATTTGGGAAGAACCTCTCTCCCATTTACCTGCCGCCTCCCCGCTCTGCACTGGGTCCCGGGCCAGCTTCAGAGATTGTCACATCCCCTGGGCCGGAAGTACGACCGATCATGCGCCCTGTGCCATTTTCCCAGCCTTGGAGAGGAAACAAATTAACAAACAAGAAAAAATAATCAGCCAGCTCCACTAAGACGGGAAATCAGGGCAGGCACAGCTCCTTTGCCTAGGTGCAGGCATAAGGGGTCCACAGACTTTGACTGCCTTTCACCCCCGCATAGACCTGTGTGGGCCAATTTCTACAGTGTAGGTAGGCCCTCATTAGCACAGTACAACAGGGTATATACCTGAAGATTAACTTCAACTGTATCAGCTATATGGTGAAGTGGCAGGTTCATGACATTTGACACTGCTGTGCCTATTAAGCAGGGTCCTCACCTACCCACATGAGGGGCCTGAGGACTGGTGGCTTCACCCATGCCACCTAGCCACCTGCGACAAGGGTCCAAGAATAAGTGGTGCCTCCCAGTGCTTACAGCCAACAGCATTGGGTGCCCATAGTGCGGCTGTAAAACCCACCCACCTATATGATCTAGGGAACAGGGACATGCTTTCATCCCAGACACTCATTGGCAGCTGTCAGCCCACTGCTTTGCTCAGCATGTGACTTGCTACTGCAGC